TCAGCGCTCACTGCTCGCTTTCACCTGACAGCTGCTCCGCCTTTCTGTGCCTTCTGTAAATGTGGAGACATGCTGACATTCCCCTTCTGTTCATTTAATTACTCATGGTTTAACACTTCTCTAACATCTCTATTGTTCCTGCACAGGAATTTTAGAAAGAGCCCCTAGGTCTTGAACCGTAAGTCTACCTTTTAGGATGGGGAGAAATGAGAGATATATTGAGGGAGGAAAGGAGAATTTGTTTTGAGGAAAGCTGTGTCCGTACAAAGAGAAGGAGAGTGGGGACAGAGGTCCCCAGCAAGGATATTTCTGGCCTTCAGACATCTCAGACTTCTAGCATGTCTAAATGAGGGTGAAAATGCAAACTGATTTGGAAACACTGCTCATCTTATGGCTGCTAACCAGAGGGCTAGAGGTTTGTGTGCACTGACTTGAAAGGAAAGCCGGTTTGGGTCATGATTTTTATAAACAATCTTCATTTATTTGTTTTGATTAGAAGCATGTGTTATTTATGCCTTTAAGCAGAGCTATTTAATAAACTACTTTAAACGTTAGTGTCATGATTAAATTGGACACAAATGTTCCTTGTGTTTTACCAGTCCAAATATTGGCCAAGAACAATATCTGGAGGGAAAAAAACGAACAAGTTTATTTGGGTATTTTGTTAGTCCAGGTGGACTAGAGAAACAAATCCAGGGAGACTCATATGTGTATAACAAAGATTTTTATATAAAAGAGCAACTGTATATTCAGAAAACATCCCAGTACAGTCCAGATCAAGTCCATAAGTCTGATATTAGCCCATATATCCAAAACCAATCTATAAAGTCCTCTTCAGACTCACAAAACGCATGCAATGACGTCTAATGCAGGAAGGTCACAGGCCAGTGAGTGAAAGGCTTGTAGATCCAGTGGCCTTGCAAGCATCTCAGCACTGGCCGGGATCTCCATGTGACTTCTCTGGTTCCAGAGGTCTGGCTCCATCAGCCTCTCTCCATGTATCTTCTCCACATGGATGCCTCGCAGGGAGTGAGCTGAGAGAGTGTGTCTCCCGCCTCCAAGGAGGAAATACTGGAGTTCTGAGAATCCTCAGGAGAAGGCCATGCCCTCACAGAGGCCTCATTGGCTATATCCTGATTCACAGGCTAGACTCCGCCCCTACATTCTTAATCCTCAAATTGACACCAGATTGTGTAACTACCACAGATATATAGAGATTGGTTAAAGCATTTTAGTAGCATGATGCTGTCAAGGATATAGAAGAACTTTACAAACAAAATTATAAAAGCCAACACATCTGCCAATTAAAAATTATGGCCATTAATTCTTTAGTTTAGATTCCTAAGAATACTGTCTTATGATAACTTATATTGAGGCAATGTGATATAACAAGGGGAAACTGGCTCTTGGTTTTGAAATGCATGACAGTATGATCTTGACTGCATTTACATAACCACTCCATGTCTGCTCTTTCGTCGTTTGAGTCAGGCTCACCTTCAACGCAACAACACACTGTTATCAGGTTGATTCTGACTCATAGGCAGAGTTACAGTCTTGGAAACCCACAGGGGCAGTTTGCCTCATAGAGACCTGTAGCATGGGTACAACTGCTCCTGTGGGTTTCTGAGACTGGAGTAGAAAGTGGCTGATGGTTTCAAACCGGTGATCTTGTGGTTAGCAGCCCAATGCATATAACTTACTATGCCACCAGAGGCCTATTGTAGTCGTTTTTATGAGATATGCACTTTTTTGCAATCTATGATTGCGCCAACAACACACGTTTTCAAGCTTTCTGTCACCTTTTGTTATAATTACATTATTATGTGTTGTTCCCAGTTAATAGCTGGACAGTGTTCCTAAGAGCAGGACATGAATCTGAAAATTGTGTATCATGGAGACCTCATAGCATAATGGATTACAAGTTGGGTTGCTACCCACAAAGGTCAGAAGTTGAACTCTACCAGCTGCTTCACAAGGGAAAGATGAGGCAGTCTACTCCCTGAACGATTTACAGCCTTGGAAACCCAGAAGGGCAGTTCTACTCTGTCCTGTTGGCTCACTATGAGCCATGATAGTGGGTGTCAGCGGGCGGTGGGTAAACATACCCATGCCTGCAATGTTTAGTCTTATACATTTAGAATATATATGAGCTTTTCATTTATTCATAGCTTCCTAAGCTATGTTCCTATCTTTAATAGAGAAATAGTCTATGTTGTTTTCTTTTACAACAGTAAATGGACTCTGTCAGATGTGTGGATTTTCTATTGCTAAAATGTCGTCATCACATTTTCGTGTTCGTTGGATATTTTGAGGCTGTAGGAATGAGGACTGGATGCCCATTTTAGTCATGGAAGCTTACCTCTTTCTCTCGATGCTCTGATGAAAATAGCTATTTTCTCAGGAAAATAGGAATACACTCCACCTAAATAAAGTCTTTCTCAGGGGCTCAGAGAATGTGCATATGTGATTATATATGTAGATGTGGAAAATATTGATCTAATACAATATTAGTTTGCTACTTTTAGATCTTTACTGAGATATAGGAGATTGATCCTTTCTTAGCACTTTTTATGTTTTCAATGAGAACTTTTGATGGTGACTCATTTTTTAAGAGATTGTCTTTTGCTCAGAGGACTGAAATTGGTAACTCTACGCAGATCACAAACATGTTTTTGGCACACACAATGTCTTTGAAAATTTGAGCAAACCCTAACTTCACATGAAATTGGAATTTTGTTTTCTTTAGAAATAAAAAATAACACAGAAGAATCATAGATACTGGACCTGGCTTTCCCAATTCATCAGAGCTCGTTAAAAAAACTAAACTAAACTAAAAAGCAGTAACCTTCTAGTCAATACTGACTCATGGTGACCCTAAGTATATCAGAGTAAAACCATGCTCCCCGGGATTCCCCGTGACTGATACCCATGAACTATAAATAACTAGTGGCTCCATCATTAACCTGAAACCTTTTAATATCTACTCAGCCTACTTTATATATTTATGATCATTTTCTGGCCTCCGCTCTAGATTTAAATGGTTTCACCATCAGTAGTGGTTGTATTACTTATGAGCCATTTGCTTGACTGCTTTTTGATGTGATAATTGTTCATTCTGAGTTTGCTTTGGGCATTACAGACAAATTTACATACATATGTGAAATGTGTTTGAAATAATCAGTAACATATATCTTTATTTTAAGGAGTCCTAATGGTGAAATGGGTAAAGCATTATGCTGCTAATCACAAAGTTGTGATTCAAACCTACCAGCTCCTGCTTGGAAGGAAGCGGCAGATTCTACACTTATCAGAAACCCCAAAGAGTGGTTCTACTCTGCCCCATAGGGTCACAATGAGTCTGAATCTACTAGACAACAGTGGCTTTGTCTTTATTTTCTTTTCCTTAATTTCTTGTTTCTCTACAATAGTCTTATGTAAAGTGCTTTTAGAAGCCCAGATGGTATCGTGGGTTGCAAGTTGGGCAGCTAAATAAAGATTAAATCAACAACTTCTCCCTAGGAAAAAAGGAGTCTATCTAGTTCCATAAAGAGTTACAGCGTCAGACCCACATGGGTAATTCAACCCTGGCTTAGAGGGTGGCTATGAGTGTCAATGGATTAAAGTGTTTTTATTTCGGTATCTCCTAGGTATCTTTCCAAGTACTTTCAGATGATTTTCCCTAGATTTGAATAATTAACTATGCATTATATATTTTAATATACATTTATACCTAAGAACAAATTTTGATTGCCTTCACTTTGTAGCAGCTCTGAGTACACAGGTAGGCTTGTTAACTCTTAGCCATCACTGAAGGACAATCAAATGACTAATTAACTTTTTGGTGGACCTTCCTAAGGCTCCGTCATGGTGCTGTTGGCTTCGTGTTGGACTGTTTCCCCTAAAGCCAGCAGTTCAAACCATCAGCCACTCCGTTGGCGGAAAATGAAGCTTTACCCGCCAGTAAAGAGGCAAAGCCTGAGAAACCTTATGCAAGGTCATGAGTTAGAGTCTTTTCAGTGGCGGTGGGTTTCGTTGACTTTTGTCTCAGTCACCTACTTCACAGAAGGCCTGGCCATTTTCCACGGAAGTGAAAATATGTCTGCCAGCATTCTAGAGCTGAGCTTGGGCTGGATGGATAGGGAGCTGAGATCAGTCTTTTAGTGTGCGACTTCCAGTCATTCTCTCAGTTATAATCCCATAGTACTTAGTCTCCTTAAATTTATCTGAGTCACATGTTTTCCTAGCTTATTATCGGTCTCCTGTTGTTGTTGTTGTTGTTGTTGTTGTTGTTGTTGTTCAGTGCTGTTGAGTTGGTTCTGACTCATAGAGGCCCTGTGTGCAACCGAACATTTTCATGAGATTTTCCTTTGCAAAATCCTCAGAAGTGGACAGCCTGTTGCTTCTTTGCATTCTGTTCTTAACCTGGAAGCTCGGCTGAAACCCATTCACTTTGGGTGACCCTACTGGCATTTGAAATTCCAGTGACAGCCTGCAGCATCAGAGCAACACACAAACTACCACAGGACAACAAACTGACAAACAAGTGCTGGAGTCCCATCTCTGTCTTTTCACTACTGCACCACAAGCCTTCTTCAGATGCACCTCGAGGTGCACACAAACTGTTGAATCATTAAGATTATGGTAGCAGCCAAGTATGTTAACTATTCTATTACCGTACCTAGGGACCAGAGCTCAGGAGGAGCTTCTTTATTACCATGGAACCTGGCTGCCCAGACAGAGTCCCCACTAGTTCTCCCTTTCCTCTAGGACTCTGAGGCTGAGGATCCATTGACATCTTAATTGTGGGTAAATTGCTTTTTAAGTATAACAGGGGATTGGTTTCTTGCTTGCATCCTTTGCTATCAAGGTCCTAGGTTAGGATTCTCACCAAATAGTTGCTGGCTCTACTAGAAAATAAATGTACAAGTTTCAAAAAATAACATCTTGTGAATGGCAGCAGTTTGTCCACATTTTCCATGTTTCGTGTCTCTGTCTCCCAGGTGCGGTACTGGCATACCAATGGAGAGCAGGAAGAGTCGTCGAGCAACGTGAAAGTGTCAGGAAATGAGACATCCGCCAGACTCCACGGCCTGCAGAGCAACCTGGCCTATTACACCGCTGTCCGGGCTTACAACAGTGCTGGCATGGGTCCCTTTAGTGCCACGGTGAACGCAACAACCAAGAAAACCCGTATGTACCCGCTGGTGTTTCAGATCGCAGGCACAATAGGTGCATTCATAATGACAGCCTTCCTCATCACTTTAAATGGTGCATCCACACCAATAATCCCACTGATTGGTAACAACTTTAACTCCCAAAGCTTGTCAACTCTGATCCGCACGTGTTTGTTTCCAGGATGTCCGTACATATGGAGGTAGAGACCTCAGATGGAAATGAATGTGTGGAGTGTTCAATGCAATCTCTTTCTTAACCCTGAGACAAGCATTGGTGTTAGGGTTTTTAGTTGCCGTCCAGTTGGCTTTAACTCATGGTGGCCTCACATAGCAGAAAAATGTATTTCCAGGCCTTGCGCTCCAGAATCTCCACGATCGTTGGTATGATTGAGTCCATTGCTGACGCTATTGTTTCAATCCATTTCTATGAGGGTCTCCTTTGCTTTAATCGGCTCGCTACTTTAATAAACATGGTGTCCTGTTTCAACAATTAATCTTTCCTACTGACATGTCTAAAGTAAGCATGCTGAAAACATGCCTTTTTAACTTCTCAGGAATATTCTAGCTCTATATACTCTAAGAGTGGTTTGTTCCTTCTTTTGGTAGTCCACAGTGTATTCGTTAATCTTTGTCAACACCACAGATTGAAAGCATCTTGGTCTATGTACAGGTTCCACCTTAGCAAAACTATGCTTTATAATTCCCATTCTTCACAATGTTATCTGTAGTTTGTTATGACCCACAAAGTTCAATGCTTTTGTATAGTTAATGAAGCACAAGGAAACATATATTAAGAGTTCTCTGCTGTTTTCAGGCAAGAACTGATGCCATGCAAAAACAGCCTGACATCAAGAGAAAGGGGGTCTTATTTTATCTCTGTGACTTTCCTATTGCCTTGACCCTCCACCCTCCTTCCATCAATGGCACTATGCTTCTATGCTGGGTTTCATCATTTGTTGCCGTGTCCCCCCAGAACTCGCAGACAACATTCACCAGTGTGAGGGTTGATTAGGAAAGTGAATAGGCTAACACAAGTCAAGATCAGTAAACAGTAAAGATAAGGTCATTGGTCCACAGCAGCACCTCTCCTCCGCCAATCGCCAAGTGTCTCTTTGGTCCTCAGTCTCTCAGTCATGTGGTCCTTTGGCCTGCCTCCATGAACCAGGAAGTTTCACAGTCTGCCTCACAGTTTCCTAGTTTCAGTACTGCTTCTCTGTTCGATCTCATGTTTCTTTGCCTCTGTCCCTGGTCTCTGCCTGGCTCCTTTGCTCTGGCCCATACCCTCTGTGCCACAGTCTCTGTTGCCTCTCCCTTTTCAGACAGAAACCTGGAATGTGCTTTTCTTCTAATGGGCCTGGGATTTCTCTGTGTGTCAAAGTTTGCTCATATACACAGAGGAATGGCTTTGGTGAAGTTGTAGTTTTTATCTTAAGCAGACCATAGCCCCAAGGAATCAAAAATTCTATTGGACACCTTTATTGGGAAAGAAAGATCTGTGGATTTCTGCCAGTCTGTTTCGCCAGGTTGCTGGCGTCCAAATGTCTTTGTGCACATGAATGTATGCTTCCAGTCCTATCGAAGTGGAGACATTTGTCAGTCGGTATTCTGTCAATTCTTGCAGCCCGGTTATTTGCTAGTGCCTTCCGTGCAGCTTGCCCTTCTTCATTTGATACCATCGTTTCTTTATCATAGGCTGTCTTTTAAAATAGTTGAATATTAATCAATTATTTTTGTATAAGTGACTGCATATTTCTGTGTTATTTAATCTTTTTCCCATACAATCCTTCAATAATATAATTCAAATATGGATTTTTTTTCTTTAATTCTTTTAACTTTAGAAATACCAAAGGTTTTGTTCTGTTCTGGTTTGGCTTTTCCTTTCAGTACTTTAACTCCAGTTCTTTCATCATCATACTTTATTTTCTCTTCTGGAACTACATGTTGGATAGTTGTTTTAGCTTCAAGAACAAGTTGTAAAGGGTGTTCTGACATCCGTTATTGTCTGTTCTTCTTTCCTGCGGTTCTAATGACCTTTTACTTTCTTCATGTCTGATGCTCTTGATTTCATCCCACAATTCCTCTAGTCTTTGGTCATTAGTGATCAGTGCAGGGAATAAATATAAATACTAAGCTACAGTGGCAGCCATAGAATCAATACTTACTTTATCCCCCTCTTTTATTGCTGTGGTTTTCAGCAGAAGATGGGGGCCCAGTTGGCTATATTGATACTTAAAGGAGAAATCTAGCCAGCGGGTCAGGGTTGCTTTTGATGCTGAGTCGTAGCTAGCTAGGCATTCACACATAAATCCCCACCGTCCAGTTAGGAACTGTGCATGGCATGGGTTTAGATTCGTCTACAAAAGTAATTTTTAAATTTTTTGCATTTGTCTAGTAGAGACAAATATTTAAACTTATACTACAGATTTATGCTTAGTACTACACTGCTACTTTTTCCACTATGCATTCATTTATGTTGAAACTATTGGGGTAGATTGCTAATTTCATTAACAAAATGCTACATTTTATTTATGTATTTAGTGGATTTTAAAATTTGAATTGGGTGAGACCATCACCTCTGTAGTCAGCAGTTCGAACCACTCATCACCACCACCCTTATTCTACCGCTCCCCAACCCAACACCAATTTCTCTTCTCTTGACGGATCTCTGTCCTCCCGTTCACTTTTCGTGACAAACTCTATTTGAAAACAATAAGCCAACTCTGTTTATTTACATCATTGTGATTATCATTGACAAGCATTGTTGATCATTGAAATCCATATAAAACCAAATTCGGTTGCTTAGGATATTCGTTTAATCGGGGAAATCTTACATGTATATCTTGGCATTATCTATAAATAATAAGTTTGGCTACCAACCCACTCATATAATATGGGCATTACCAATGATGAAAAATACAACTTTCCTCTACTTACTAAATGCTTCCTCCCCGCCCCCACTATCATGATCCAAATTCTACCTTGCAATTCTGGCTAGACCAGAGGATGTACACTGGTACAGATAGGAACAGGGAATCCAGGGCGGATGATCCCTACAGGACCAGTGGTGTGAATGGCGATACTGGGAGGGTAGAGAGAGAGTGGGTAGGAAAGAGGGAACCGATTACAAGGATCTATATGTGACCTCCTCTCTGGGGTATGGACAACAGAAAAGTGGGTGAAGGGAGACATAGGACAGGGCAAGATATGACAAAATAATAATTTATAAATTATCAAGGGCTCATGAGGGAAAGGGGAGCAGGGAGGGAGGGGAAAAATGAGGACCTAATGCCGGGGGCTCAAATGGAGAGGAAATGTTTTGAGAATGATGAGGGCAATGAATGCACAAATGTGCTTTACACAATTGATGTATGTATGGATTGTGATGAGTTGTATAAGCCCCTAATAAAATGATTTTAAAAAATAATATGGGCATTACCTTTAGCAAAAAGCAAACATTTAAATATTTTTAAAGAATGATTTGCAAGTGGTTAACTAATGTGACAATTAAACATTATATTTAAGTGATTATAAGGGAACTTGATCCAGCCATTATTCTTTCTTTTCTTTCTTTTTTTAAATCATTTTATTGAGGACTCGTACAACTCTCATCACAATCCATCCATCCATCCATTGTATGTCAAGCACATTTGTACATATATTGCCCTCATCATTCTCAAAACATTTGCTTTCTACTTATGCCCTTGATATCAACTCCTCATTTTTCCCATCCCTCCCCACTCCCCACTCCCCCATGAACCCTTGATAATTTATAAATTATTAACATATTGTCATATCTTACACCATCCGACGTCTCCCTTCACCCACTTCTCTGCTGTTCATTAGCGGGAGGAAGAGATTATATGTAGATCGTTGTAATCTGTTCCCCCTTTCTCCCTCACCTTCCCTCCACCCTCCCGGTATCACCACTCTCCCCACTGGTCCTGAGGGGTTCATCTGTCCTGGATTCCCTGGATTTCCAGTTCCTATCTGTGCCAGTGTACATCCTCCGGTCCAGCCGGATTTGTAAGGTAGAATTCCGACCACTAGTCTTAACACATGATTGTGGTTAGACCAAAGATCCCTGAGTTTGGAAAGACTTAAACTGAAAATATTTTGTTTTTAAAACTTTTCATTAAATATGTTTGGTCTTCACACTAGCAATTCTAAATTAGTAAGGTTTAAATATATATCATTATTTATGTATTCAAATCACAGCATCAGTCAAAAATTCTGATTGCAAAATTATATGCAGACAAGTTTATCTAGCTCTTTCCTCTGACTTAATAATTGATGTGATTACACACCAGGAAATTATACTTGTAAAGGAGTGTGATATCATGGTGGTATCAGTGAGGAACTTACGTGAATTGGAAAAGCAATGGAAGAGACAGATTATAAATCAATATAAATGTCATCCTAATGTACAATGAATGAGATTAACTTTTTAAAGGAAGTACAAACTCAAGGAAAGTTTTTGAAGTTGCATATAAATACCCAATCTAAAGTAGGAATTTGCACATAACAATAATTATAATAGCGATGATAATGACAGCTAATACCGAGCACACTCCAAGTACGCTGACACTTCTTAATTGTTGACCCCCCCACCAACACCACAACTTGAAGGCTGTCAGCGTCCTCACTTCGGAGATAAAGAAACTCGGGTATGTAGGGATTTTGTAACTTTCCTGATATCAAATAGGAGTCCCTGGGAAGCTCAAATTGTTGAAAACTCAACTACTAGCTGGTAGGTTAGCATCTCAACTCACCCAGTGGTGTCTTAGGAAATAAGCCTGGAGATGTGTATCTGCAAAGGTCACAGTTCTCTTTACACACAGGATTGCCAGGGGTTGAGAGTTCAATCCAAAGCAAAGAAAAATAACAATGGGACATTCTGCCCAAGCCAAGCTTAGTCTTAGAGCACGTATTTTCTTCTTTCAATGATATTATTAGAATTTTCCTGAGTCATTTAATGCTAGTGTTTATTTTGCTTTTGCTTTGTGCACAATCACTGAA